TCCCTCTGCAGTATTTGGTGTCAGTATATTTTCAGGACTTTCCAAACGTGCTGAATGACAGACTTATAATCTCGCAAGCTGTTGTTGGCTGTCAGATTCAAACAGTGATCATACTTGAATGCTAAACGGATCAGTTTTGGAGGGTCTCGCTCTTTCGTTGTGGAATTATGAGCCACGTTTCTGTCAGTTGTAGAAACCACTTAACACTGTCATGAACAAGGTTGCTTAGCAAATGAAAACTGAAATATTTTGACTTTACAGTTAAAATAGTAATAATTAAAAAAAAAAAATTAGAACTTTCTGTTTTGTTAATGAGCCAGAGCTCTAGGTCGAAGCTAAAATGAAAGTTAAATAAGAGAAGTTCCATGACTTCCTCCTGTGCTATGAATAGCTATCGTGAATTCTACCCTGTTTAACTTCTCTTCCTGCACTGAAGTGCATGTGTTCACATAGAAATTATTTCTGCTAAATTAAGAGCAAGAAAGGCAGGCAAGCTAGAGATCTTAGCAACTGGTTTGAGGGCAATGATATCCTGAATGTGGTTTACTTTTCAGTAACATGGTAACGGGAGCTGGCTTCCTGCAGGGGAGTTGGTTATGCCTCTCTCACTCTCGCTCTCTCTCGCTCTTTTTTTTTTTTTTTTTTGACAAGCATAGGCTGCTTCCCTGTATTCTGATCTATTACCTTATGCAAGAAAGTACCTCACCTGTACAAACAGTAAAATAATATTAAGTGACTTAAATGTTCAGTATCAGAAGCATCGCAAACTGTGAATCTGACCGAACCTCAAGTAGAGATTAGAAAGTCTTGGATATTGTGGAAGCTGGCGGAAGCACAGATGATGTGCCTCTGCAAATACACTCGTGTGCTTCTGAAGTAGTCTTTATTCTGTGTTTGAGGGGATTTCCCTTCCACAAGTAAATGAATGAATGCTGATCACATAGTACACTGAATAGTAGTTTGGGAAAGAGGAACTTAAAACAGCCTTCTGGTGAGTCTCTTTGGGATATTTTAGGTGAATTCCCCAGCATGTTCCGGAGAGGTAAACTGCATAAAACTGAGAATTACAAGTCATGTGGTGGCTTACGTGGCGGAAAACTGCGTTGCCAGGGTCCTGCCCTGGGCGATCCTCTAGGCCCTCTAGTGTTCAGTACACACAGGCACTCCCCTCAAGTTGGGAAAGCTATAGGTCCAGCCGACAACCTCGTATGTTCGGTAACTAAACCTACTTATGGAAATATCTTACTGCTGGTAGCTTTATTAAACTAAAAATTCAGCTCCTTGAAGCAGCTGCAGTGGACTCAAATGTTTATCTGCAGTCGTGCAATTCATTCAAGAGTTTGGTGTGGTATCATTCTCCTAGGGTTTGGGTTTAATTTTCTTCATGCTCTCTGCTCCTTCTGTCATGTATCAAGGTATACCTAGAGGGCATCAGAGTATTTTACAGTACAACCATATGCTTACCTATAGTCAGGGGTATTGTCTAGGAAGAAAACTTCACTGTTCAGTTTATGTTGCTGCCCTTTTAAAAATGAAGAGGGAAATCTAAAAGAGGGAAAGTCATTTGTTGCTTATCTTCTTTTCCTTAACTTAATAAGTTTTTAAAGAAAACAAACAAAAAGTCAATTTCAGTTTTGGTGGAAATCTGGAAAGACGGTGGGATAAGATGGCAAGCTCCTTGAATTTGGTCTGCGCAGGGGAAATCAGACAGGATCATATGTGGTGTCTTTGTGAGTAAAAGAAAATAAAGCAGCAGCAGGAAACAAAGTGGACTTGTACTAGCAAATGTTAAGAGATGACTGACGAACATAGTCGATAACTTGACTTTGAACTGATGTTTTTAAAGTTCTCCATGTATTTTGAGTAAAGGCATATTCAGAATCTGTTATAAATGAAACCTTCACTTCTGTATTGTGGATTATTTCAAGAGTTTGCATACAGTCAATGTTTTATTTTGTTTTGTAAGTGAAGCTCCAAAGCTGTTTCTATGAAATAGTTCACAAACTTCCAGTTCTTCTAGGATACAGCTCCTTTTCTCAAAGCAGGAAAAAAAAGCTCCATGTTTAAATGACTTAATGTTGACACACAGACCTCATTAAAAATGAGGTTTCTTCCATCAGGTTTTTGTTAGGTGTGTGTTCTTTATGTTACTGAACAAACGGGACGCGTTATATTATGTGGTCTCCTCAAGAAATACTATGTGGCAGGACGGGACCATCCATGACCCTACTGAGCTCTCATAGAGCTTCCATAAAAAATTGTGGCCTTGACCTGGTGAGCGTGTGTTTATTTTTGTTATAGCTCATATAGAATAGCTGTGCTTGTAAGCATCATAGAACAAAAGTGCTAGCTATATTGCTTAGCAGCTCTAATAACAATAGGAAAATGGGTAGGATCCCATAGATCCTATGGGTAAAGCAGGAAAAAAATAAGGAGATGAGAGAGTAAAGAAATATGGAACCTGAGAGAACATGAAGAGGAGTGCAGTTGAGCTAAATGTTCTTGGGTTATTCAGTCAGGGCATAGAGGCATGCTTCTTAAGCTGCTCTTTCATGTGATGATTTAGGGGAAAAGGGGTGGACGTGGTGAGTTTTCCGTAAAGTTGGTGGCCTCTGCCAAAGAAGACCAAACTCCACATTTTAAAAGTGGATGGTTACTGATGAGCAATAATATAAAACTGCTAGCAGTTTCCCCCTGTAAGGACAGCGTGTACCTTCTAAATGTTGAGATCGGTTAATTTTAAATACCAAAGTTCTTCCAGATTCACCCCACTGCACAATAGGTGGACTGAAAGATGAATAGCCATCAGGTTGCAGTAGACAGTATTTTTAATTTTTTGACTAGAACTGAGCACAGTTATAGAAACTGTCCAGTTCAGCTGCTGGGAAATCCTCAGAGCTATTTCAATTGGAGAAAACTTTGTGACGTTGTCTTAATATATTGACTTAGTCATTATTAATGTAGAAGTAAAGGAAACGGTTTGCAACACAATTTATTTAACTCTCAGACAACCGCTTTTTATTTCTTTAAGTGGAATGAGTCCAGAGAGTCTCTTTCATGGAAAACTTGACTGATCTTGCATAATACTTCTTGTGTAAGCGATTTGCCAACTGTTGTACTTTCCAGCAGCTGCATTAGTTATGATAACTATGGAGACCTCTTACAATGTGGTATGATCAGTAAACTAGCATGCTGTTTACCTACCTCAGATTTATAGTTGAGGGGAGGAAAAACATGTGGAACCTTTTGGGCAGGAACTTTCTGTACAGTTCACATAGCAGGCAGTACATGCTATCTTGACTCCAGACTCAAGTCTCGAGGTATTCAGGAATTTAAAAAAAAAAAAAAAAATCCTAAAAAACATCCAAGCGTCAGTGTATTGGCGGACTTTTGTTTCTAATCTGCGCTTGTTACATAAAATGCACGACTGACTTGGTATTCCCATGGCCTAAATTCATGACGGAACTCGCACAACTAAACTGCACTTCAATTTTCTGCTTACAGGCTTATATTTTATGGTACAAGTATACTTGGTCGCTCCAAAAATTCTGCTACAGCGTGTGCACGGAGGTGCTGCTGTTCTGTAGGTGTGTTGTCAGGGTTTTGCCCAGTACCGGTGAGTCTCTGTGAATAGCACATGTGCACAGCATACTGAGGGCAGAATACAGTTATTTTCTCCAATTTGAAGTGCTTTTTCCTCTTGAGTGATGGGAGGGGGAAAGGGGGGCAGGCCCACAGCCTACTGGCCAAAATGCTTGTCTGGGAGGTGTGAGGCTGAGTTCAATTTCTTCCTTTGCCCAGTGTGATTCTGACCAACCTTTGACTCCCCAAGAGCATGCCCAGCTATGCTGCGGGATAGCTGGAGTGAGGACACCTTCACCCTTTCTGGTGAAACTTCTTTGCTGTATTAACAAGCAGGTGGCAAGAGAAAGGCTATCATTAGTGCAGAGAGAAAAGCTGCCTTCAGGGGCAAGGGGGGAGTCTTACATTCCTTGCTGTCTTTGTGAGGGTGTTGGGGAAGAAATGTGTGTAAGGTTTTGAGAAAGGGAGTCTTGTGACTAGGCCCCTTCCTGTGTAGGAGAGGTGGTAGCGTCACCTCCAGACAGGCACCATACAATCTGGTAGCTAGCACACTCTCCTAGATGTGGGTTTGAATTCCTCCAGGCTGGGGAGGGAACTAAGCCCATGTTTCACAGTTCTGGGTGTGTGTTACTGGCACTAGGTTACTCTGCAGAGATAAGATGCCTTTTCTCCTAGCTGCTTTATTAAAAGAATGGAATAAACTGCTCTGGTGTTCCAGTCTAGAAGGGGGTTTTGGGCAATGTCTGCCACTTATCTCAGAGCTTCAGAGTTCAGATTTTGGAGATGCTGCTCTCTCAGCTCTTATTAATTAAACTCTTTTTGTATTGTGAATTCTAGCCTGTAGCAGCAGCAGATCATGGTTTAAGCAACATCATATTCTTGTGCAGGCAAGGAAACAGATGGAGGGCTGTGCTCTTCTGGGCTGGAAGCAGGTCCGCATGCTATAGATTGCAGATCGCTATAGTTTTCTCTGTCCTTGTCAGAAACAGAAAGCTGCAGAGTCACTTCCTCTTTCAGCCCCTGCTTACTAGTGTCTGATTCATTAGCTAAAGGAAAGAGCCCTTTTATCTAATGTCTGTCTTTGTTCAGACAAAAACGCTTTTCACCTTGCCTGTTCAAGTTACTTCTGTCTAATGCAGGTACAAAATAGAAAGCTAAAATCTGCTTTTTAAAAAGATAATGAGATTCATCGCCAATCATTTAGGATTTCATTGAAGTGATTAAAGCTCAGCTGTCAAATCATAAGCATCAAAGGCCTTTGAGGAATGCAAACAAAATGGATGTTGCTTTCAGTATTAGAAAATACTTCATTTAGGGGATGAAACCCTGTAATGGCCAGGTACCGAAACACTCACTGAAAGCAGCTTGGAAGCTGCCGAAAATACAACGTCTGTCAAAGGCTTATTTTTACAAAAGCAGATTAAGTCTGTAGTGTGCACGAATGCAGCTCGATGCAGAGCAGTCAGCTCTGCAGCAGCCAAGGGCTGCGTCCCTTCCCAGCTGTTGTGGGTGTGTTGCAGGTAGGAAAAAAGAAACCCTCCACCGTCCCAGCATGCCTTAAAAACTCATTGTATGCCCTGGTGGTGCAGGCAGGAGGCACATGACTAGAGCTTCCTTATAAGGAGCCTGGTGTGGGGTGATGGGCCACTTCCAATTGCAAGGCAGGGAACACATGACATAAGATACTATAGATCTGCCTTGTGGGCGCTAGTTTAAAAATAAAGGATATTACACATCTATGCTCATCCTGAGAGGCTGCGGAGAGGAAAGACTGCACGAAAGCACAGACAATGCACTGTAAGACTGAAATCAGAACTGTGCAGTGGTTGGTTTTGGGGGAGATCTGAGAGCTGAACAGTAGTGTTTTGGGCAAGAGAGTGTAAAATTTAAATGTTAGCCTCACAGTAGCTCTTAAAAACTGCAAATGTCATGCTCATTTTTGGATGAGAGGGTGGATTTATATTCTACTTCTGATTAGTTTTTTCAAATGATCCAAGCGTGATGTTAAGTGCGCTTAATCCACTATTAGAATTTGCTGTATTTCGTGCAAATACAGCAGTTTTGAGTCACGTCTGCTTTTGGATTGCCTTGATCAGATAGCTGCATCAAAGGGAACTGATTTCACTGTGGCATTTGATTCTATTTTCATTTTAAGCAACTGTTTTTACAGGGACAACGCTGTGTGAGTCAGATACACGTATGGCACTTGCAGACCCCATCCCCGCGGCTTATCCTAATTCAGATGCTCAAGGGAAGTGTGAGGTGTCACTGGATGATGTACTGGTCAACTCTTCAGCTAGGTTTGTCTAATTTAAGATTTACTTTCTCTGTGGTGACTGTATACATAGGATATAGCTATTATTCTGGCACTTTTATTTAGACTAATTGGGGCATTAAGATTTTTTTAGGAAGAAATTTCAAACGTTTGGTACTGCTTCCAAAATCTGAAAGTTGGATCTACGGTCTAGCTATCTCAAAAGGAGAAGAGGAACCGAATTATATTTGCTGTATGTAGTTACCACACAGAGTCCAGGCTTATGAAATAAAGTATGCATTTAACATATACCTAAAACGTAGGAATGGTAGAATATTCTACATAGTCAAAAAGATCACCTCTCGTAAAGGAACTTTGCATAATTGTTAAATCTAGCCAATTGGGAAGGCACTTCTAAAATACTTAGAGTACATAACGGGTAATGCATTCGTTTGTGAAATGTTGCTCTAACCAGATAGAGGTGTGCCTTTATTGGGGGGCAGCTTGTTTGCAGTACATATGCTGGTATTTATCAACCTAGGCAATGTGTTAGTCCATCTGCAAATCTAAATAGCCTCTTACTAAAGAGCAGGCTAATAGTTAAGGGTCTAAATTTCAGCACAGCATAACGGGATATAGCTGACAGACTTCCAAGACGCTGCTTACCTATTTTTCAAGCAGTATTTGAATTGCATATAGTAACGAGGAGAAAAGGACAGCTTTTGATTCGTTATAAGGGAAATAGCTGAGAAATTTTTCTGGTTGTTTTACTGGGTCACTTGCATGCTCTGATTATAAAAGCAGGTAGTGAAATGATGCAGAACCATTACAACTGATGATTAATCTGCGCTCTGAAAAACGTCCTCAGTAATGATGAGGAAGTGCATAGTAGGAAAGATGTAGTAACTCCTTTGGGTGATTAAAAAATTGTGATTTACTTCTGTCTGGTTTCTAGCTTACAGATTAGATCAGAGAAGCAATTCTGCTTTTGGACAGCACACAGGACTAGCCATGTCCAACTTAACTGTTTTCTTGAAATACTGCATTTTCTCTGTGCCTTAAATCCTGTGAGATCAACGTCCAAAGCAATTATAGTTTACCATCCCCTAGAAATTCAGAGAAAACGTAATAGAGGCAACCACTTGCTCTTTACACTGAAATTCATATAGTACCTTATGCTGATTTATCTTTTTGATTTAGTAGAAAGGGAGGAAATTGTGACATTTAGGTGGAACCCTGCCAGAATTAGGCTGAGGATATTGCATGGAACCAGTTCTGTGCCATTCCAGAAAGGCACTTGCCTATTTGCAAGTGTGTGCTGATAGACAGAGATATTGGGGCTTATTTTTGTCACAGACCTGCCCCTGCAGAAATACAGGGATGTGTGCGCAGGGCTGGGGTAAGCCAGTGGGCAGATGTCTGTGATGTCATGAGACCCTGGTGCGTTCCAGAAGGCCATGGCTTTTCCAGACCCTGGGAGGGGACACCGGGAGGTGCTCTCCTCTCTGAAATCTGAGGGTCAGTACTTAAAAAGGCAACTTCTCACCAAAAATTGCAATGGGGAAGAGTAAATATCTAGCATTGATGTGAAGAAACAAACACCTTCGTGACAGCCTGGAGCCAAGGACTCCTGGAAGGACTGTTCAGCAAGGCAAGATGGAACTTTTGTTTCTGCGGGATACAATTTTGGGTAGACTAAAACTTGGACCTTAGTGCTCAGATGATGGTACAAGTGGGGTATTAGCCTAGGGTACAGGAACAAGTGTCAACTTCCTGTTAGTCGGAAGTGAGAGGTGTCATTGTAGGGAGCAGAGCACAGAGAACTGAATAGCAAATCTCGCAGGATCTAGCTTCCAACTTGCAGTCTGAAGAGTGGGACATGTGACTTAATTATTCTGTATCCTCATTACTTATGAGTTTGACAAAGTTTTTTTTATTTGGAAAGGGGAGGAGGAAGAACTCTGGTCTATAAAAGCTGGCACGTGGACTTTTACCAGATCTTGCAAGGTTGAAAACAAAAGGGACAACTGTCAACTGGTACGCTGGTACAAGTTCCTTGCAATTAACATGGTTGAAGACAGGGAACATGTCTGAGACTGACTGTTTCAATTTCTTCACAAGCATCTGGTGGGGTCTGATATAGTGACTTTATTAGGAAAACGTATGAGAAGAAGATTTCCTGCTAAAACAATTTCCTGCTCTTCAGCTGGCCTAGCCTTCTGCAGGAAATCTTTGGGGGCTCTCCCAGGAGGTTACTAATGTGATTGCTGTACTCCATAGGAGTAAGGCTGCTGGGGCCTGCCCCCTTCATTACGCTCACATGTTGCAGAGAAGAGAAAAAGCACCACATCTGCATGCCCCTTCCTGTCCCTCTCTTTCTCAAGGCTGTAGACTCTTTGTTCCAGGCACATACAGCAGACCTGTGGTGTTGAGTTCTGGCTGCTTTCTGGATGCCATGTTTATGGATTCCTTCTGTTTATCTGAAAGGATAGTTACAATTAGGACAACATGCATGGGTGTGTAAAAAAACAAAAAAAAACAAAACAACAACAAAAAAACACAGGCAAAGCTTGCAGGCTTTCTGGGATAGGGCTGTAACATTGCCATCCATGCAGACTGAGCTGGCAAAATGAATGATAAAGCAAACTACAGAAGATGAAGAACCGCTATTCCTTGTTTGGCATCCAAGGATGGGTTCTCTGAAATGAACATCTGAACAATGTGAATGAACTTATATTGTTCTTCAGCCAGTGTGTTAAAGTCTATCCAGCACTAATTGCTTTTGCCTTGCAGAATTGTTGAGGTCCACAACGCTGAGACAGTTGAAGATACTAAGACAGAGGGATCTCAGATAGACATGCTGCATTGCAAAGGTAAACAGAAAGGAATTTTAGTTACAGTTGCGTGCCTAGAATTATTATTTAAACGAGAGAGAGTAATTTACTAAATGATAACAATAGAAGACCCTCAAAATTACAGAATGGTCTCTACCGAAACCTCTTGAACTTAGTCTATGAAGCACTGGTGATTACTTCAAGGAGTAAAATAGGTAGTTTAACTTGTCTAATGCATATCTACCGATAATCATACGCTTCTGTCCTTAAAAAAAAAAAACAAAAAAACAAAAAAAACCACAGTGTATTTGATCATTGCAGGAAGCTGCCACAGTTACCTGTACAAGAGCTTTAGGGTAGAATAGGGTCATCCCCTTAAGTAGATTAAAGGGGGAGGTAAACAAAAAGGGAAACATAACAAAATTTTGAATGTACTTCTGAGGCTTCATCTATTAGTCCTGATCTAAAATAATGGGAGTCGTATGGCAAACTTGACGAGAAATAAGTCATAAGAAAGGTGCATGCTAGCATTTGCTTTCATATGTTTGAGACACGCACACACACTGCTATTACGGCAGCAAGCAATTTCTAAACACAAGATGTTGAACACTTTTCTTCCAAACCAGTGTTTGCACCTCCTACCCCCAGTGTGTGGACAACACAACGAGATGGAGAAGTCAAACTGAGGATGGATGAACATGGCATAGGCAGTGAGAAACCAAAGACAATTCCTGAGCTATTTGACGAAGCCGTTAAAAAATACGGTAATTGTTGTGCCCTTTCATACAAAAAGGATGGCCGTTGGATGAAGGTGTCATATAAGACGTACTATGGTGAATGTTGGACTGCAGCAAAAAGCTTTCTGAAGGTAAACTTTTGTTGAATTCTTCTCCTCCGTCACCTTCAGTCAGTTTGACTACTGAAATGGCTGTAGTCAACTGTGTCTTAAACCTGCAAATTCTCTGAGTGTAGCTGAGTCCTAAAATGACAGGGAAATACCTGAAAATGCCATAACATCTTGGCAATTATCACAGTGTTTTTGTTTAAGTTCTTACAAGCTGCTTCTCCATTCAACTAAATGAAAGCGAGTATGAAAACATTAAAGCTGAGGTGTTTGAGACATTGGCAAACCTGGACAAAGCCGCTTATGAGGCGTGTAAATTTTAATCTTTCCAGGAAAAATCTTCAAGGGATGCATATGAATCCAACTTAAATGTCAAAGCTGGCTGAGCCTTTTGGCTGTACTGTTGGCTATTAAGCCACTCAGAAGGGGAGAGAAACAAACATTACATATATTTCCTGTTACCATTACAAAGTCTCATTTCTGGAAGTTAAGGCCTCTCTTTTTTTCTCTCTGATGTGGGAGCTTCCAGTATACGTAATTCTGCTCTCTGTGGTGCAAAACCAGAGAGTAGTTGAAGTGGTTTGAAAGACTTGGACTTCAACATTTGGCATTTCATAGCAAAATGCCCTTGCCTGTCATTGGAGCTTGTTGTTCTTGACATCAATAATGTCTGATATATCTAACCTATATGAAATGCCTGTATCTCTCAGCAGGTGTTGTCTAGCTTAACTCTTACCTTCTCCTTCCCAGCCCAAGACCACAAAGGGAACTGATAACTAGCTAGATTGCGGCTTTATAATACTGTTTGTGTTGGTAAGCTAATCATAATGAATGCAGACCAACACAACTTTTTTTCCTCCCTGCCTACTGATAAAGTAGGACGATGTCTGATGTGAAACTTAACTGGCTCCATGTTAAGTCTTGGGGATTTTTTTCAATATGAATTACCCTATCTAATAGCATAAACTTTTCTCTTGACGCTGTGCTCGCAGCAAAGATCTGTCAATTAACTCTAAGCATTCTTCAGTGGGAAAACAAGATTGCTGTAACCTCATCTCTTGTTTACAGTTGGGACTAGAGCGTTTCCATGGAGTATGCATCTTGGGATTTAATGCTGCAGAGTGGTTTATTGCTGACATTGGAGCGATCCTTGCAGGGTAAGAATAAGTATTGTCTCTTGATGTGCATTGTGCTTTAGCCTTCAGATAGTAATTTCCATGTTACATGAGAAGCTGTTTTTGATTTAAAAAAAAAAAAAAGGGGGGGGGGGGAGGGAGGTGCTGGGTAATTTGAATCTAACGAGGATAGCTAAAACCGAAACCATCCTTTTACTTGATTATGAATTAATGAGACTAAAAATATATTTTTTTTAGCCCTATACTTCTCTCAAAACAAGCTGATCAGCAAGTTAATCCAAAAGCATGCTTATTTGCACTTTGATTAAAAATATGATGATGGGAAAAGCTAGAGATTCACAGTACTGAATTTTGATAGCTTTTTTCCATCTGAGACACTTTGGCCCCTTACACTGTTCTGACATTTCCCATGCCCCAGTACAGAGCCTTTCCTCTTGAAGCTAAGCCCTCTACTGCCTGTTGTTCTCTATTATGGGATATTCTTCCTAAAGTTTTTCCTCTGTTAAAATTTAAAACAGACTGATTCTTTGGCATTGACTCTACTTGTCCTCTAATTTTGCATTTTGCTTTGTTTTGTTTTTGTAGTGGACTTGCTGTTGGTATCTACACTACAAGCTCTCCTGAGGCCTGCCATTACGTAGCAGAGAACTGTGATGCTAACGTTATTGTTGTGGAAAACCATAAACAGCTGCAGAAAATCTTAGAAGTAAATACACTTGTTAAAATAGTTGGAGGCTACAGCATCCTACTGACAGATGTAGGAGGGTAAAGATACTTGTGGGAAATGCTGTATCTGAAAGCAGAGGTGAACGGGGAACACACCAAGTAAGCTTCATCAGTTCAAGCCAGACGACTGGTCACTGGTGCTAACTCTCACTTGGGGAAGTTAAATGGTGGTTCCACAGTATAGCAGAGCCTCAAGCTTAAAAAACATCACAAGCCAAAATGAACAATTGAAAATCCCCTAGGTTGTCTGGCAGCATCCCAGTCCAAATGATTACTGTCTCTGCTGAAGCTTTCCTCTCTCCTTGCAATAACACAGACCAGATTATCTTAACTTTACTTAAAATGGCAAGTAACAGTAGTGTAGTCCATTGTGTAGATAGCTGCACGTTCACTGGTGGGTTGAGTTAAAACTTGCTTGTTCCTTTTAAGCATTTCTGATGAATCTCCATTCTTAACACAGATTGAGCATAAACTACCTCTTCTGAAAGCTATTATCATGTATGGGGAAGAACCAAGGGAGAAGAGACCAAATCTGTATTCTGTAAGTACTGGCCATCTTAATGGCTTGTAAATATTGCCAGTGTTTAGCCTGATGGGTTGCAAGCAACCACCCCTTCCATGAGACTGTCATAATCTGAGTTCCTGTTGGCTTTAGTAAGGGATCACTTCCCTAGCTGAAGTGGTAGATCTTTACTGTTGCTCAAAGCTTGACGATCCATGTCAGAGAAGGGAAGGGTGTTGGTGTACTGACCTCTGTTAGGCAGGGTAAGGTCCCAGAGTTATTTCTACTTGACGCTCTCAATGAATAGCAAGGTTGCTACAGTGCAACGTGCCCACAATAGTCTTGTTTTTTTAAATATAATTTCCTACATTTAAGAATAGTACATCCAAAACTAAGATTGTGCATTCATATGGACAACAGTACTGTTTTCCTTTTGGCACTAGTTTGTATGTTTGTACCCTGGGTGTACAAAAATCACCCTCTCTAGACATCCTCTCCCACTGAAGTGCAGCCACAGCATTATTACACTAAGCTTCTGGCACTATTCTATTAGTCAAGGTACGAGTAAAACTACAGGAAGTAACTGCTACAGAACTAGAAAGGTTCTTCAAGGTAGGTGCCTCTCCTTTTCTGTTTCCTTCCCTGCCTCCAGTGGCAGTCAGCAAACATCATGGGGCTAATACTGCATCTTTCACAACCTCTTGCAAAGTCTGTCAGGCCTGTTTGTACTGAATTTGGACGTAGGATTTTAGTGTTTTATGTATCTATTGTTTTGTGACTAGATTTCCTGTCATTCTAATAACCTGAATAAGTTTCCTTCTCTTCATGTGTAGCAAAGGGTTTAATTTCATATGTGGAAGTCTACAAAATGATCGAGTTCTTCTCTTCTGTATACAGTGGGAGCAGTTCATGGACCTTGCCGATCATGTTACAGATAATAGTCTCATGGATATCATTGCGTCACAGAAGCCTAACCAGTGCTGCACACTAATATATACCTCAGGAACAACTGGACAGCCAAAGGGAGTAATGCTCAGTCATGACAATGTAAGTATCTGTGCCTACTGCTGTCAGATGGGTCCCGTTCCAAGAACTATGTGCTTGGGGTGAGGGTGCTGAGGGTGGTAAAGTAGAGATTTAGTATCAGGTATGCCCTTCAACTAGATCACAGGGAGTCTTAGACTTGCTTTGTGAACTGCATGTTCTTTATTGTACCTGCTTAGAACAGCTGTCACGTCTTACTAAATTGGGTCCTTTTGTTTCAGTTGACGTGGACTGCAGCAGCAGCGGGGCGTTTCATACAACTCACGGATGGTACAGAAAAGCAAGAACGGGTGGTCAGCTATCTGCCCCTCAGTCACATTGCTGCGCAGATGATAGATATTTGGTTGCCATTAACCTATGGCGCGCAAGTTTTCTTTGCTCAACCAGATGCATTAAAGGTAAAAATATAAGATAATAAAAAAACCCCCTATATCTATACACCTGTTTGTAGCCTAGGAGGATGCTTTAAAACAAACTTGCTAGACTTAACATAGCTTTTGGAATCAGAATCTTAACTCAGTTTGTTTGCATAGCGGCAGATTGCTCCTGTTTTAAGGGTGTGTTGGTTTGAAGAGTGTGGCACATCTGACCTTTGCTTTTTGACTTTGTATTACAAAGCTAGGATGAGCTGGCCAAGCACTTCACAGCAAGGAGCTCCTTGGTATAGCATCTGACACTAGTTCTCTGCTTTAATGGCATGGTTGGGCAATGGGTTTGTATTTGCTCTGTCCATATTGCAAAATGCCACCACAATTAAATCTATGTCCTGAGAAGAGAACAATGAGATTCTTGCCTTGATGCTGTGTCAGCATGGGCATTGAAAACACTGACTCTTGCTACCTCTTCAAAACCAGCGTGGTGCTCGAGTATCTCTGGGCTTCTTTACTCTTGTGGAGCGTGGCAAGACGAGAGCTGGTATTGTCTGGTGATGCTTTGTTTGCCCTCAGCTGTGGTGGCATTTCAGTTTAAAATTGGAGTGATTACTAAAAATTGATGGCAGAGTCCTAGGCCTCAGCTAGTGACCGGTGTTGTCCTGAGGTCTGTACAAAAGCAGTTCTGAAAGCTGTATTAAATTCTACTTCACTTAGGGCACCTTGGTAGACACCCTGCGGGAGGTGAGGCCAACTGCTTTTTTGGGAGTTCCTCGTGTCTGGGAAAAAATGGAAGAAAAAATGAAATGTGTAGGCGCAAAATCATCTGCACTCAAAAGAACAGTGGCATCCTGGGCCAAGGAAGTCGGGTTGCAGACAAACCTGAAACGGATGAATGGGTAATTACAACCTGCGTTTAAGGGGTGTTAAGAATCTTAGGAGAACTCTAGTATCAGATTGGAAATTATGTTGCATGTAATGGGCCAGGACTCATGGACAATAAAAGCCAAAGATAGCAGTGGTACCAAGGCTTGGGGCTTAGCTGGGGGAGCGTGGCTTTTTGGTTTGGTTTGGTTTGGTTTTTTAAACGCTAAAATTGGAGGAGGATGAGGAGTGGGGAAGAGTTTTTACTTTGTCTGAGATTCTGTAATAACTTTTCTTTTACAGGAATACTGAAGTCCCAGTGAACTTCCGCTTAGCCAGGCACTTGGTATATAAGAAAGTTCGAAAGGCTCTCGGACTGGATCGGTGCACAAAGTGCTACACAGGAGCTGCTCCAATTACCAAAGAGACGCTAGAATTTTTTCTGAGTCTGAACATTCCTGTGTATGAGCTGTACGGCATGAGCGAGAGCTCTGGGCCTCAGACAATCTCTCTGCCTCACGCGTTCAGGATTACCAGGTAAATATCCTTTTGTGAGTGGGGCAGTGCTGATGGGGAGCAGCAGCACTGCTTTAAGGTTTCTTTGGCATGAGTTGCAGCTCTTTCATGAGCTCAGCTCTTTCAGCTTGCCCTAGAGTCTTGTTGTGTGCGTGGTTTTCTTTTTTAAACTAGGGAGCCAGTTGTTTTGGCCACATAGTGGAGGCGAAGAGACTTGCCAAGGAAAACAGTGCTACTTAAATTTAAATTGGCCTGGGTTCTTTAGGAACTGAGGAGGAAGCAGGGGATTTATGGGAGGAAAGCGGAATTAGTAATTCTAGCCTACAATCCACCTTAACATCAAATTAATAAAGGCAGTGAACAAACTGCTGTTGCTTTGAATGGCTTACTCAGTCCCCAAGTGTTTAGTCTACAGAGTAAATACCACCATCAGTAATAGTTTGCTATCAAGAACATAAATCTTCTAATTCTAAACCTCAGGTGTTCAAGAACAAAACATGGAAAACACCAGGTGTGTGAACACTGATCTCTCTGCAATAATTTTTTTTTTTTTTGTAGTTTCCATTACGTAAGCAGATGCCTTTTAAGTTTATAAATTTCCTGCTGCAGCAGTGGTAATAAAAGGCTGCCTGGCTTTGTTCAAACACTTTAGCTTGAGTGAGTACTGCTATAATCTTGCTCTGCTGTTTAGCTACTGCATTTGAAAAAATGAGTTGGGTTTGGGTTTGTGTTCTCTTTGTTTAAGCTGTGGAAAGGAAATTACAGGCTGCCGGACACTGATTCACGAGCCAGATGGTGAGGGCAATGGGGAGATCTGCTTCTCAGGAAGACACGTCTTTATGGGCTATTTGAACATGGAAGAAAAAACCAAAGAGGCAATTGATAAAGATGGCTGGCTGCATTCAGGTGACCTTGGCAAGATTGATAAAGATGGATTCCTCTACATCACTGGCAGAATTAAAGGTAATGCATCCCCTCACTTTTGAGCTGTTGTCTTGAGGTTACACAAGACCATGCATGATACAACGTGTCAGATCATGCCAATTAAGTGGGCCTGTGTCACGGCTTGCATCAGAGAATGTTTAAAGAGCACTTCTCCCACTGAAGCTTTTAATAGGAATATGCCTGCAGCATGAGTACATACTGTGTTATCAGAGAAGGAAGGTGACCTCTGAACCAAAGAGTGAGTTTTCAGCATAAGAAGAAATCCTGCTTTCAGAAGCAGTAGTTAATGCATCACTGGCTTGTTCTGCAGTGCTGGACCTGTCCGGGTCTTGACTGTCAACTCCCTCCAGTTTCAACTAGCTCTGCTAGTTAACCTTTAATAGAAAACAATAGCTTAACTTTGTTGTGAAAATGGCTTGCAGCAAAGCAATTCTTGGGAGCAGCCTGAGTGTCTAGCACTTTGACCAGCACTAAACAAATCCAACTTCACATAAGGCTGCAATCATTACAAAGAGATAAAACAGTCATGTGGAGAGGCTCCTTTTAAGAATTCTATAAAAGACAGCCAAGAAAGGCAGGTTTACCTGTGCTCTGTATCACACTGTATATGTAGCTTCTAAAACTTTCTGCTCTGCCACAGTGAAGTTTTGGCTTAAAAGTTTCGGAACAACTTGGGTGTACCAACTTGCACGTCTTCTCTAAGATGACTGTCTCTGGTAGAGTACTAAGGTGCTGGTGCTCCTACTCCAAAGCCCATGTTTCCAAGTTACAAACATCTCTGCAGCATTAAGGTGGCTTTGGACATGCTGTTCGCTTACGTACCTCAGTCTTGTCTGTCCTAGCCTGACAAGAGTCCTTCTGGTTGGCTGCTTTACAAGAACGTTGGGGCACAGGCTCACAGTTTGATCTATGCAGACACAAAGGTGATATAAAGTAACTTCAGATTGTGAAGGAAGGAAGAGGAAAGCTCTAGGCATTAATCAAATTTGAACGTGTTCCAGAGCTCATCATCACTGCTGGAGGTGAGAACATTCCTCCTGTTCCGATTGAGGATGCTGTAAAAGAGGCTGTTCCCATCATTAGCAACGCAATGTTGGTTGGAGACAAAGCAAAATTCCTTGCTATGCTTCTAACGCTAAAGGTAGGATTGAGTCTGCCTATTTAAAATAATGGAGAATAGGATGGGGAATCTACCATGGGATAGGGCCGAAAGGACGTAGATTATTTTGCGTGTGTTTAATTCTAGTGGGAAGGATAATTGTTGACTGTTCAACAGTATTGTATTCCTCTAGAGACTGGAGGCATCACAGAGCGTGACTTGCTAGCTGAGTTGCCAACACCAGTTGTAACAGCACAGGAAAATGAGTATTTGCCACCTGATCAGATGATGAGATTCTTTTGCTGTTCAGGGCAACCGTCTTTCGCCGTACCACGTAGGACAGGAAAATAGAAGGAAACAGAAGCAAAAGACACAAAAGTCAGACTGATAAAGAAACCCTTCTGCTTTTCTTACCCATTTTTCAGCATCTCCCAGAGCAGTCTAGATGGTAACGAGCTGTCACGTGATTTCTTTTTAAGACTCTGGCTTTAAACTCTATAGTGACGCATACATGGTGGCCTACACTGACTCTTCTGTCTAGGATTGGAGAGACCCTGCAGGCCTGTGGTTTTTAGGACACTGGAAACTGCTTCTCAGTGAGACCTTGACTGCCAGCCTCCTTGCCCTTGCATAAGAGGCACTGAGCAAGGCTCTGGAGCTAGTTGGGCTGCACGTGTGTATTCCCAGCAGACAACATGTTGCGCTGCTGTGGGATGTAGTAAAGTAAAGCAGTGGACCAGGAAAAGGGGTATGGCAGAGTTTTGCTTAGCTTGATCTACTTGGGATGGCACAGGAAGAATTTGGAAGGGCTGTTCTGTACCACACTCACTCCTTAATACTGAACACAGATGTTGAGTATGCGGAGATCTGAGGGTGTTTAATTTGGATTTTGCCTCGGTGAGCTTTCATGTGAAGCAGAGGTTTGCGTAAAGCTTATGAAAATTACAGTGGTTGATTTTTACAATTGGTACTGAGGTGGGAAGGAAATCTGGCAGCTTCCCACGGTTGTAAAGCATCTTAATATAAAAGGAATCAAGTGTTTAGTAATGTTGAAGTTACCTGTTCTAACTTGTCTTGCAGTGCCAAGTAAATGAAGAAAATGGAGAGCCAGGAGATGACCTCACTCCAGAAGCTATTGAATATTGCTGCAAACTGGGCAGCAAGGCTACCAAAGTCTCTGAAATCATAAGTAGCAAAGACCAAGCTGTTTATGCAGCTATCCAGAAGGGAATTTCAGCTGTCAATGACAGAGCAGTCTCGAATGCTCAGAAAGTCCAGAAGTGGGCCCTTCTGGAAAAGGACTTTTCTCTCTTTGGGGGAGAGCTCGGTGAGTGGTGGTGCATTTAGGCTTACCCTACATCATTCCTTTTCTTGGATGCCAGATAACACAGCCAGGGCCTCTTAATACGCAAACCCACCCAAGGCCTTTACTCTGTGTTGCTCTACCGTGTCGTAGGTTGTTTTGTTTTGTTTTTTTAAAATGTATTTTACAATTCCTTACTGTCAAACAGTTAAACTTTGGGAAATGGAAGCCCTTCCAGAAAGGTAGGGTAGCACAAGGCACTGTCAGCCATCGTGGCCTTGCAAAGCGCTGGTGGTCAGCAAAAAGCGTTTGCCGTAGCTCGTTACTTTTTTTCTTGTATAGCAGAGCTGGGGAAGGAGTTCCTGTGCCCGCAGGGTGGGATGGATTATACTGCACTTCCTAATTCTGTTGGGCAGCAATGACTTGCCTGGTGGTGCTGAGCAGTGCTTCCAAATCGGTCTTGCCTTGACTGTTGCTTGCAGGGTTGTGCTGTTTCTAACCCACGGGGGAAGGAATGGCGATTGTGTTAATCGCAAGGAGCACTGTAGCAGTCGGCTTCTGTTTGTGCATTCTGAAGCTTTCGCTAGGCTTGTTTCAGTCTAGTATTGATCTGTGTCTCAAAACAACGCCAGCTGTAGAAATTGTCCTGCTTAAAACCCTGTGTTGTATTTCCCTCCCTACAGGCCCAACAATGAAACTGAAGAGAACAGCGGTGGCACAGAAGTATAAAGACCAAATTGATCGGTTTTATACTGATGCGGATACGCCAACTACAACAGAGAATGCTGTTCGGAAGTAACATGGAGGCTCTGTGACTTGGTATGCAACTCTTCCCCTGCTATGTAAGTGTACTATCAGCATGGACTCTTAATGACGGATTAAGTGGGTTTTGCTGAAATAAAGGAGGCTCAGTCATCATGCAGCCCCTCTGAATCACTTTAACTGTATGACTCTTGACCCTTTTACTATATAGTATGTTGTGTGTTAAGTGCCCAGTGTTTTCTTGTATGGATGTTCTAATGCTGAGATTATTTATAAATATCTTTGCATCTTATTTTTTTCTTTCCTTTTTATAAGGACAAAAATGTTTGCAGAATAGCTCCTGTGGCAATTCATTATTTATCTTATAAAACCATGGCCTATGTTATGTTTTAACCAAAGGTTTCTCTCAGTGAGCTGACTGTAAAACAAACAAACAGCAGTTTTCCTGCT